TTGTCTTCCAGTTTCCTTTCTCAATAATATAAGTAGCGTTTTTAATTCAGTATTTACGTACATATTGCTGCCATTAGCAAATAATAGTCCACAACCCCGGCCGCTGTTGTGGACAGCCCCACACAGCGGTCTCTGTCAAACCTACTCACTCTCTTTACTCGTACCTTTCCGTGTTTTCATTCTGTTTCTCCAAAACCAAAAACATTTATACAACTTGTCTTCTTCTTCTACTGCGTTGCATTCGCTGCAATTGACACTCTCAATTCAAAGCCATTTCCAAAACTCTACTCTCTGTCTTAAAAACCCCCCTATTCTTCCTTCTTCTTCCCTTTCAGACAAGAGTTTCCTCTGTTCCATTACTTTGTTTTGTTCTTTTTCCGTTTAAGGATTGGATTTTGCCAAGAAAATATGGGTTTTGTCTTCTCGACGGTTAAGATGGTCTCTGTTCTGGTTTTCAGTTTTGTGGCTTTGGATTGCCTCGGGGGGTTTGGATCGGATGCACAACTGTCGCCGGAAGCAGAAGGTATGCAATGAACTTTCATTTGAATTTTGAAGTTACTGTTTTTATATGAATTTGCCGTGTTTGGTTCCCCAGAATTTGATGGAAATTAGAGGAAAGTTTATGACTTCTGTTAAGTGTTTTTTCATAGCACTAACAATCTAAATTCTTGGTGTAACTACTTCTTTAACATTTTCCTTTTGTTTGTAATGGTTGGTTGTTTGAAATTCTTTGTTTGGTTGCTTTGAATCTCCAGAAAAAAGAGAAGAAAGTTTTTTTTTTGGTACATCAGAGTAAGCTAATTAAACTAAAAGAAAACTAAAAACGAAGGAAGCATGTCCCCAGTTGATCCCCGGTGAGGATGGACCTTAAGCCACTCGGTGGAGAACTCCAAATTCTTAAACCTGGTGGCAAAGAGTGTCCCAAGGAAGCCAAGAAGTCTGCTGCAGCATTCCCCTCTCGCAAAGTATGTTGCAGAAGGCAGGCTTCAAATTCCAGCATCAAACTCTGAATTTCTACAAGAATTGCTGCAGACAAATTATCGGGCATCCGATGCTCTTGAATAAAACTAACAGCCATTAATGAATCCATGTCTGCAACAATTTTAGATAATCCAAGAGATTTACATAAACGAAGTCCTTCTCTAAGACCCCAAAGCTCAGCAATAAAAATAGAAGCATCCCCCACATTAACTGTGAAACCAGAAATCCAACAACCTGCGCTATCTCTAATCAAACCTCCTGCTCCAGCCGATTTATCACCAGCATTATAGGACCCATCAGAGTTTAGTTTGCACCATCCCTCTTCTGGTGGAATCCAACTTACCCATCGTGGCTGCCTTGAACGGGGTGACGATATAGGATTCATGGCAATCTTAGTGTACTGGGCTTGCTGGAAAATCGTAGCACATAACTCCTGGGGTCTTGATTTATGAGATCTAAAAATGAGAGCATTTCTGTCTTTCCAGAGAATCCAAATGGCAAACAAAAACACCATCGTCTGTGACCACTCCAGCATGCCTATTCCGCCGTGATGGATTAGAAAATTTCTTAATCCACGAAACCAACTCTAGAGCAAAGAACTCAGTTGTAGCAAACCCCAAAAGTCCCCAGACAATCTTAGCATAATAAGAATCACGTAACAAGTGAATAGGCGTTTCCTCAGAAACATCGCACCTGGGGCAAACACAAGAGGCAGACATATGACGGTCAAAACGTAGAGAGTTAGTGAGAACCCTCCCTCTCACCAAAAGCCATACCAACATTCGAATCCGCTCTGCACAACATAGCTTCCATACCCAACTCCATGAGTCCAGAGTTGCACAAGAGGCAGCTAATGAAAAGAACGCTGCACAAGTGGCAACAAAATGCAAAAGAAGGGAGAGCTGCACCAAAACACGGTAGCAGCAAAGTGTAGCAAACTATGCCGCAAATGTTGATGAAATGCGGCTATAATGAAATGCAAATGAGGCTGCAAAGTAGCAGCAAGTATAGCCACATGAAGCTGCACAAGTGGTAGCAAATGAAAGGAAATGAAGCTGCACAAGTGGTAGCAAGTCTTTTAATGTAATCTTGCATTAAATGTATTAGATAAATATGAAAATTATTGTTGATGTATTGAGATATTTCTGCTATTTAATAGCAGAACATGAATGAGAAAATGGAGTTTTCACCTCAACAAAAAGGGAACTCCCATGTGTCTCCCTTCTCCTGCAAGTCCCTTCTTCCCTTCTTTTTCTCAAAACGCCAACATGGTATTAGAGCTTAAATGATCCTGAGGACCTCTAAAAGTGAGTTTGAGTGAACACTAGAAAAAAGAAAAAAAAGAAAAAAAAGAAAAACACCCCACCTTTCTTTGTTTTTTAGATGGTTTTTCATGTGAAACCACTCTTGCTTGGCCAAAATCTTGTAGCAAAAAAGGCTGTGAAGATGGAGGCATATGTTAGTCCCACCATGAGAGATGTCAAGGAGAGGAATGCTGGATTCAAAGAAAAGGTGTTCATGGTTGTTCCAAAATCAATCCAAAAGGACGAACATGCTAGATGGAATGGGAAATTGAGCACGAAAAACTCAGTTTCATGGTATGTTCTTCACCAATCTTTTATGTTGGCTATGGTTATGTTTTGAGTTTTCCCAAGAAAACTCTTCATGGATGTGGCTGTGATGCTCGAAACTCCCACGGCTTCATGGCAAAGAAAAACTGAGCAACTTACGGGAAGGCTTAGCAAAGCTCCAAAAAATGTGTTAAAGCAGCAAATCCAAGCAAGATGAAGCTGCAACATTGAAGGAGGAGCTGATCTACTAAAGGAGATGCTTTAGCAGCGACAACAAAGCAAAATCGAAGCATAAAGAACTGCAAATGGCAGATTCAAAATGCTTTGATAAATTTCTTCTTTCCCGCAACTTTAACACCAAGAAGGAGTGTTGGAGCTGTGGTGTTAAAGCTGCACAAGAGGCAGCTAATGAAAAGAACGCTGCACAAGTGGCAGCAAAATGCAAAGAAGGGAGAGCTGCACCAAAGCACAGTAGCAGCAAAGTGCAGCAAACTATGCTGCAAATGTTGATGAAATGAGGCTGTAATGAAATGCAAATGAGGCTGCAAAGTAGTAGCAAGTACAGCCACACGAAGCTGCACAAGTGGTAGCAAATGAAAGGAAATGAAGCTGCACAAGTGGCAGCAAGTCTTTTAATGTAATCTTGCATTAAATGTATTAGATAAGTATGAAAATTACTGTTGATGTATTGAGATATTTCTGCTATTTAATAGCAGAACATGAATGAGAAAATGGAGTTTTCACCTCAAAAAAGAGGGACTCCTGTGTGTCTCCCTTCTCTTCCAAGTCCCTTCTTTTTCTCAAAACGCCAACAAAGTTGATGAGCATTTTAGAATTATCTTGCTTGATCTTGATAAGCTAAGTTTAACATTGTTTGGTTGATGAGAAATTGTGGGAAACATAAAGATACAAAATTCCTGGGTCTACGTAAGTACAGTGTCAAAACTTTTGAAAATGAAGTTTCATTAAAAACTAAAATTCATGATCAGTTTGTACCCTGAAAACTATTGAAATGAAGGGTTCTTTTCTTAGGACAAGAAAGTATTTCTTTTCTCATTTTTTTTCCTTGGCAACCAAACAAGGGATTAGCATAGTTACTTCTTTTAGATATTTTAGTTGCTTACTTCAAGGACATTTTTTCTTTTTCTTTTTTTGCTTGATAAGTATCCTTGGATCTTGATTGCCCTTCTCAATTCTTATGCTATTTTAACAATCCCTCACTACTTGTTGCAATATTACTTTCATGGGTTCCATTTCTTAATAGGCAAAATACTCAAATCCACCCCCGAAGTATAGTGGTAGGGATAGATCCACCCTCAAACAAAAAAGGGAACAAATCCACCCACAAAGTTTTCGACTTGGATAAATCACCTCAAATTTAACATGTGAGATCATCTAACATCAACAATCCATTAATTCGTTAATAGATTGCTAATGTTAGATAACGTCAAATTAACAAATTACTTATGTCAAATGACGTCAAACGCTAAATTTGAGGTAATTTATCCAAATCGAAAACTTTATGGATGGATTTATCTCTGTTTTTTGTTTGAGGGTGAATCCGTCCCTACCACTATACTTTGAGAGTGGATCTGGGTATTTAGCCTTCTTAATAAATCAGTAATTGTCACTGGAAAAAATTTTAAATAAAAAAATACTTTCAATCAAATATCAGTGTGTTAACAGGATAAAGATTGTCACTGAACTTTGATCTAATCTAGCTTTGGTTCCTGCATTCCGATGTTAAGAGTCGTCATTCTATCGATTTAAAGTGAAGAGTCAGTCAACTATCGTTCTAATCCACTGTTTTAATTTCTGTGGTGGAGAAATCATAAATACCCATATCTGGCACTGCATTATGGCATGGTTTTGGATACTACTGTTAGAAAATTATCAGAACATTATTCATTCTTGGCCATCTTCCCACCAAATTTCTTGTCCCTTTTCTTCCTAGCAATATTCCATTGTAGGCCATATGCCCTTTGCTGTTTTTATCTCTATGAGATCACTCGATTGAGAAGTATTAGGTGGTTTTCTGTAAAATGATCAATTTCAGTTGCCTTTGATGGTAATGCCTAATCCTAAAATGACCTTTTAAGTATGCGAATGCTATTAGTAGAAACCAGCATGACGAGGACGATCAGTCTGATTATGGTAAATTAGCTGTCAATTAGGAATTTGATATGGAAAATCTGAAAATTTTTATTTGCATGAGTTCTCTCTAATGATGGTATGTTTTCTTTTACTTCTTCTGGGGGCAGGTCAATGTTAAGAATGGGGACAACTTTTAATGTAATTCCACTTTAGTTTATTGTAATTCTTTATAACACAGTTGAGCTGGAACTAGGTTTCTGTTGTGTGTTATTTATTTTATTTCATGAAATCATGTGAATATGTTTTACATTATAGTGTGAAATGGGCATCCACAATCCTTAGCATTTTGCCCCTCGGTCAAGTCTAAGAGATTTAATATGGCTTTTGACCTTTTGGTCTAAGACGGCTTACTATAATATAAAAAGCTCGAGGTGGTCAAATATCATGTGGTTCAAATCTTTAGGCTTACCCTCTATTATCGAAACATTGACATTCACATTAAGATATTTTTTTTAAGGTGCCTAGCTGCTCGCTTTAGATTTGTTGGCTAAACATGAACTCTTTTGTCTTTATTACTTCTAATAACTTGTTATTAAGCTTATGATATTAATCAAAAGATTGCTGTTTGACATATTTAACGCTTGTAATTGTATGTTATTGATTGACTCATGCCTTGTATGCAACAGTTCAAACTCTTCAAACTATATTCAGAAAACTGCAGCACAATAATGTGACTGTCAGTCAAACATCTTGCACTGACGGTGGATGGAATGATACCAATCTTGACAATGATATCTTAGGGAGCATAACATGTGACTGTTCTGACGGAAACAAAAAATATATATATATTAGAAGCGTGCTTCTCATTAACAATTCATATTTTGTGGATTGAATTATAAAATAAAAAAGACCTAAAATTAGTTTTTAATAGGTTAACAATAATGGAAAATAGTTTAGCCCCTCAGTAACTCATCTCTTCTTGTAGG